CTTTAAGGTTCATCCATGTTTATTCAGAATTCCCTTACCGGAATTTATATGTATATTTATCACTTGGTATAATACATGAATGTTTTATCCATTCATCCGATGGACACTTAAGTTGCTTAAGTTGCTTTTACCTTCTGGCTATTGTGAATAATGAAAATGGGTGGGCAAATACCTGTTTTGAGTCTCTGCTTTCAATTCTTTAATATATTACTGGTTCATATGAAAATTCTGTTTTTTTGAGGAACTGCCAAACTGTTTTCCACAGTGCCTGCACCATTTTACGTTTTCACCAGCACTGCTCAAGGATTCCAGTTTTTGCACATCCTCTCCAACGCTTGTTATTCTCTGTTTTTTGATAGTATCCATCCTAATAGGTGTGAAGTGATATAGCTCATTGTGGTCTGCATTTGCATTTCCGTAATGATTAGTGATTTCTTTTCATGTGCTTATTGACCATCTGTATATCTTCTTTGGAGAATGAAAAAAATATATAACTCATTTTACAGTAAGATCTCACTTACTAAACAGAATTGTTGGCAAAACATGGTATGAACTCACATGACACCATACATATTCTTTACTTATCCCATTTAATATGAATATTCATATGCTCTGCTAAAGAAATATTAGTGTATCTGATTATGGAGTGTTGCCCCAAATCCTGCCGGGGCTGTTGATTTCAGATACATATGTAATACTTCGCTAAACTCGAAAAATTCAAGATTGCAAAACACATTCTGTGTGAAGGGTTTCAGCTAAGAGTCTGTGAACTGGTAGCTTCACTTCTTTGGAAAACTAAGCTCCAGTTCAAAAAAAACTTATAACTTTTGGAATTCAAAACATTAATTAATTAATCAAGGGCAGTGCGTGCTTTGTATCTCAGCCCTCTCATTTTGTTCTTTTCTATCTTTATTCTTCACTGTTGATGTTCCTTTCCTGAAGTTTTTTGCCTCTTTACTTCTCTGAGCCTTTTTTCCCATCTATGAAGTGGGCAAATTCTTTTCTACTTTGAGGAACCAACTGTGGGGATTAAATGAGATAACAGTCTGGCACAGTATTGGCTCCACAAATGCTGATTCTTTTTATTCTTTAAGTTCATGCTCCCTTCATTTTGGAGTATGTGAACTCATTCTTACATATCTCTTTCATCATGCAACTTCTAATCCCTAATGAACAGAATTATTTTTTATTAGAGTGTTTCTATAGGAAAATGTTCAAATAGCAGAAAGACCTCTCTTTCCCTACACTTCACATTCTCATACTTAATAATAAGGGTACACTCCCGCCCTCCACTCCCACTTCAAAATGCCATTCTTCCATGGGGAATGGAAAGGGAAAGTTGAGGGGGAGCTATCTGATGGAAGGCAAGAGGAAGGGAGCGGAACTGTGTATCAGTTGTAGATCAATTGTAATTTTCATGTTTGAACCAGATCTGGACTTGGAGGGTACTGCAAGAGTTGCTTCTGTGTATTGGAAATTAGAATTAGAGTCATTTGGTGGAGGTGGAGTATTTGCAGAAGAGTAATAATCTTTTCTCATAAACTGCTAATAATAAAAGTTTTATTATCTAGAGTAGGCATATTTAAAGTTACCTTTTGGTTTAGTGCCCCCCACCCTTTCTTAGATTGAAAGGTCCATTCTGATTTGGAATATATGTCATCTTTTCAAGATGTTGGCATATTCAAATGAAAAGGAGGCACAAAGTGGCAGAATTCTAGTTAAAAAAAATTTTTGGTGCTTTTTTTTCAAGATTTTATTTATTTGAGAGAGAGAGAAAAAACAAGCAGGGCGAGGGGGAAGGAGAGGGCCACAGGGAGAGGGAGAAGCAGGCTTCCCGCTGAGCTGGGAGCCCGACATGGGGGACCCTGGGATCATGACCTAAGCTGAAGGCAGCTGCTTAACAACTGAGCCACCCAGGCGGCCCTACGTTCTTGATTATATTAGATAGCTGCTGCTTTAGAAAGCTGCATGTTTAATGAGAGAGTATTTTGGCTGAAATTTAAAAATAAAATCTAGCAAAACTAACCTTGTCATTCAGATTTTTAAAGAAAATTTCATTTATTTATTTGAGACAGCGAGAGCGCACTTGTGAGTGCACAAGTGGGGGGCTGAGGGGACTGCAGAGGAGAAGCAGACTCCCTGTGAAGCAAGGAGCTTGCCGTTGGTGTGGGGCTGGATCCCAGGACCTTGAGATCACCACCTGAGCCGAACGCAGATGCTTAACTGACTGAGCCACCCTGGTGCCTTTCATTTCAGATTTGACAGTTTGATTTTGGAAGGACTGAGTTAATGAGTGGTTTGTATGCAGCTGTTGCTTCCTCACTGCAGAGAGCCTTTGTTAACTTGTAAACCGTAGTAAACGGAAGTACACAGGCTCTTGAGGCTTTCATAAGGGAGTTGGAGATGGTGGTGGAGGACAGAGGTGGATGAGCGCATGTGCCAGCCATTTCACAGTGCAGAAAGGTCCTCGAGGATAGGTAAAGGCGGTGGGGAAGTCTGCTGTGAATCTAGTTTTACACAGACTCTCTGAGTTGCAGTGATGTGCAAGCAGTTATACTGGAACTGGCTATCCACTTTTACATCGGGCATCCGCCTAGAAGAGCCACGGGCAGCTGATGGGAAAGCTCTCAAAGGACAGGCAGTGCCTCAGCAGGTGCATCTTTTCAACCTCTGTGCTTTGTATTTGATCCTTGGCTCAGGAAGTTGTTTTCTGATATTTTGTTATTCTAATACTTTCTATACTATTGTTCTTGTTATTTTGAGCTGTGAAGATAGGTTAAAAGATGCTACTTTATGAATTAGAATACTTGATTCTGGAATGTAGTTTAAAAAATAGTGTTTTTAAAGCCTTTTTACAAGTTTTATTTTGGTTTTGAGAAATGAAAAAATCTTATTTTAATCCTGTCTTGTGTGTCTGTTTTTTTATTATGTTAATCACCATACATTACATCATTAGTTTTAGATGTAGTGTTCCATGATTCATTGTTTGTGCATAACACCTAGTGCTCCATGCAGAACGTGCCCTCTTTAATACCCATCACCAGGCTAACCCATCCCCCCACCCCCCTCCCCTCTAGAACCCTCAGTTTGTTTCTCAGAGTCCATAGTCTCTCATGGTTTGTCTCCCCCTCCGATTCCCCCCCTTCATTCTTCCCCTCCTGTGTGTTTGTTTTTAATGATTTTTGCATTTGGAAGAGCCCCAGTACTCCTTGGTCTCATAACACAATTGATCGAACTAATAGATGTTTGTCTTTTGTTTTGAGATGTCTAAGAGGTTGAGGTTTCACTTGGCTGTATTCCAGTATGAAACCTGAGATAAATCCCTTGGCCTTTTTATAAAAGAAAATGGTTAGAAAGGCCAGGGAGAGTTCTCCTATTAGTTGTAGTGAAGAGCCTTCTTCCTTAAATGAATTTACATAAAACAGTGAATAAAAGTATCTGATCTTTTCTGTTTTGTTAGAAAGTGTGTAGGGGTGTGTGGAGGTGTGTCTGTCTGTGAGCTCCAACAAGAGACTTTTAATAAATTTCTCTGGTTTTAAAGCATAAAGTTGAAGGATAATGTTTGTTATTCTTTTGATGAAGGGTTATTAATACTGTGTTTGGGCTAAATTCTAACTCTTTTTCTTAAGTCAGTGTTACTGTTGTCTTTTTTTTTTTTTTTTTTAGGATTTTATTTATTTACTTATTTTAGAGAGAGAAAGAGAGAGTGGGGGAGGATGCAGAGGGGGAGGGAGTGGGACAAGCAGACTGTGAGCTGAGCGCGGAGCCCTAGGCGGGGCTCAGTCCTACACCCTGAGATCATGACCTGAGCCGAAACCAAGAGTGGACACTTAACCAACTGAGCCACCCAGGCGCCCCAATGCTTAATCTTAAATGAATGTTTATGGGGTATCCATGATAAATATATAATATATACATAATATACTCACCCATATACATGTATATATGTATGAATCTATTCCTCTATTGGTTATAGAGCAAATCAAATTGCTCTTGAATTTAAGGTTTTAAAACCTGATCTTTGTAGTCATCAGCAGTGGCTTATATTTAAATTGCTGGTGTGGAAGTCATAAAGGCTTTACAAATTATTCTTCTTTTAGATAATGTGGCTCAGGTTTTTGCAGAGATAGGGGCATAGAGATTGTTTTCGTTATGAACAGAAGGTAGATAAAAGGGATAACAGTATGTGTAGAAAAGTATTTTTGTTTTTAAATCTGTGAAGAGCTACTAATGAAGGTAATTTTAGGGGCAGTGTAAAATGACTTAAAGACTTTTGGTACTTGTTTTGTCATATTCTTTTAATATTACCTACCTTCCCAAACCAAATAGTCACTCTTTTCTCTATGTGCTCACATGTTCAGTGGGTCGTTTCTGTTGTCTGGTAAGGCATTGTCTGTATGACATTGGCAAGTGTTCAGAGCTCCTTCTCCCTCCTTGTTAAAAATTATTCTTTGTGGGCGCCTGGGTGGCTCAGTCGTTAAGCATCTGCCTTCGGCTCAGGTCATGATCCCAGGGTCCTGGGATCGAATCCCACATCGGGCTCCCTGCTCCGCGGGAAGCCTGCTTCTCCCTCTCCCACTCCCCCTGCTTGTGTTCCTGCTCTCACTATGTCTCTCTCTGTCAAATAAATAAATAAAATCTTAAAAAAAAAAAAATTATTCTTTGTCTTCTATCCCCAAATGCCAGCAGCTCTTTAACAACTAAGTAATTAAGGGAGTGAGTTTAATTGCGGAAAATATTCGCAGTCTTATTAAATATGGAAAATGGAATGACACCAGTTGCATTTGGTTCTAAAAGATGTATAATCATTTTTGCTCTCCATTCAAGTACCCTGTTTACAAAAAATAATACAGCTTATTTCAAAACTTGTTAGTTTGTTCCTGGCTTTTTTTTGTTCTTTGGAATCCTGAGAGGACAACATTTAATTTCAGCTTTTTAAAATATCTATCCCAGTAGATTTAATTTAGCTAACTTTTGTGATGTATTTTTTGACTGCACAGAAAGTTGGAGTGACTGGTCCCCCTGATCCACAAGTCCGCTGTCCCTCTGTCATTGAGTTTGGGAAGTATGAAATTCACACCTGGTACTCCTCCCCATATCCTCAAGAATACTCAAGGTATGTTTTGAGAAACCCTTTACCTTCTATTTTTAGATTCATAGAACTCCCAACACTAGATCTTGGGGACATTTTAGTCCACTCATCTTTATACATTTGAGGAAACTGGTGGCTTGTAAATGTCCATAGTAGCAGCATAATTTGGCAGCCACTTAATCCCAGTTGGCTTTAGATTTTCTTTTCTGTAACCTGTCCAAAAGCTGTTACTTAAAATTGGAAACCTGACACATGGTCAGAACGACAGGGAAACATTTTTTCTTTAAGAGAAATTTGCCTTCATACTTCGCACTACTGAAGTATAAATAAAGTTCCACTGAGTAACCTTTTGTCTAAATTTTTATAATTTAACAAACTTAGTGAATGGTTTGTTTTCCCAGGAATAATTGGACAAATGGTATGCAGTAATATTACATGTAAATAGCTTGGGTTTCAAGACATAAAAAGTAATCAGTCACGAGCTTTTTGGGATGAGGCAGCATTTTTAGTAAAGCCAAATTGGTTTCATGACTCAATTCTGACATTTATAAGCTATATAACCTTAGAAGTTATCCAACTAGCCTGTACCTCAGTATCCTCATCTGCAAAATGGGGGTAAAAATAGTATTCACCTCATAGGGTTTATTGTGAACATTAAATTGAGTTAAAACATGTAAATCACTTAGGAGATAAGTTCTCAATAATGTCAGATAGTATTTTTTTCCTTTAGGGTTGAAATTTTTAAAAGAGTTGAAAAGTTTTGGTCAAAAAATTAAACTTTGAAGTGTAGCAGTCACATTAATGTTCTCTTTAATTTGTAAACTACTTAGGCCTCAGGTTTCCCATTTAGCAGAGTGTTGTAAGGAATAATAAGTGCTCTGTGAGTTAAACACATGTTCAGAGTACTCTCATTATGTGGCTTTTTACCTATTAGTGACATTGCTAGTCCAAAATATTAGCACAGGTAATTATAACATTTATTTAGTGCTTTACAGTATACAGAGTGCTTTAACATGGTTTATTTCCAGAAGCTGGGAATAAGCTAGTATATTTGTTAAAAAAAAAAACAACAAACTAAAACTCAGTATTGTTTTTACTTTTTCTTTCCACATAATTTGATAACTGGTTTCCAGATGTAAGCAGACGTAGAAAAAACAGGAATGAGAATATTATTATGGACACAAACCTCAGTGACTGGGGAAAAAAAAAAGAGAAAGCAAAATTTCAGGAAGCTAACACACAAGCAATTGAGAGTCAATTATTGTAGGGTTAGTTAGCCTTAAACACTGTGTTAGATCTGTAAGGCAGCACTCTGTTTATATCATGGGAAAACAAAAATTAACACATTGTTAAAAGAAGATTACATGATATGTGATTATATATTTATATATGTTAAAAAAGAGGGCAGGAAATTCCTCAACTACTTACAGAACTCAGGTACTCAAGGCAATTCCTCAAGAGTTCTGGATATTCAGATAATTACAGGATCAAGAAGAAATATGCTGAGGAATTAATTTCTTCGTTAAGTTTAAAGAAATAATTATTATCATTTATTTAGTGAACTCTTTGCAAGCTGTCCAAATCAAAACATGCTCGACTTAGACAACAAAGTTTGTTAACATGTGCGTGCGAATCAGCTGGTGCAGGGATTGCGGTACAGAGAGATTGAAACCATAGGCACCTTGACTCCTGTACTCACGGGGAGGAGAGGAAATTTACTCAGAGATGATACTAGAGAGCCAGCCTCAGCACTTGCTTTTCAAGAGAATGAGAGTGGAACCATGAGGCTGTTGTCTTTTAAGATATGAAAAGGCTTCATTAAAAATGTTTTTTATTCTGATAAGATTGTCACTAGAACCTGATCTCTTTATCAGGTTTGAGGGAATTGGTTATCAGTTTATTCTTAATAAACATTGCCTACAGAAAAATAAGAATCATAGTAGAAAGCAGCAATGGGATAGGAACTGTAAAATTTATCAACTTTCTTGAATAAAATTTTAGACATTTTCTTAAATAAAATTTTAGATGTTTAGTACATTTCTTTATCCATTGTGGAGTGTTCCCTGAATTTTCCATCAAAAAATATTCTATAGTTTAATAGATTCTTAAGTAATTATGACTTTTTCTTCATTCATAATTCTCTTAGTTACATTTTAAAAATACATATGTCTAATTTTAAATGAGTTTAGGCTTGTTCTATTAAACTTGAGTTGGCTAACATGCCAACATAAGTAGACCTTATGTTTTCCAAATAAAAAACCTAGGGCCTTACTTTGTTTTATTTTATTAGAATTTATTATTCTGTGCTAAATTACTTCTAAGTTATTCTTAATATTCAAGGTTTTGAACACTTCTTAAAAAACTCAAAATCCCAAAGCATGCAAGAACAGAACAGTTGCAGCAAATAAAAAAGATCTCAAAAGGAAAATCTTTTGGGAATGCAAGAACAGAACAGTTGCAGCAAATAGAAAAGATCCCAAAAGGAAAATCTTTTGGGAAGTGGGCTTGTGCATTATATCCCATAATATCCAGATATTTGTGTGTGCATTGTATTTTAAGTAATCTTGCATCTCTGACCTAAAAAACAAAACAAAATGAAACAACAACAATGAAGCCAATAATGCTGCTTTGTTTGGAGCAGTATGGTTAAGTCTTAGACATTGAATAGTATAAACCAGAGTTTTAACCCTAAGTTTCTCCAACAGGGCCATGTGATGCTCATATATGGCAAACAGGTTTCATAGAGAATCCCCTAAAACATGACATAGATGGGCTGAAGGCAAGAGTGACTATGATCGTGGGATATCCTACTCCTGAGCTGTTTAGAACTTATTTCATAATAACCTTTTTGCAAGGAGATCATATTGAAATCCTAAAGGATTGTAATTAAGTAGCTTGGGAAGTTTCCTCTCCTTTTTGATCCTGTTCCTGACTTAATTTGATACATAGATTACTTACAGCCCCAGTTACTAAAGCCCAGCATCCTTAAGGTCTTTCGGTGACCATTAATGATGAAATAAAATGAATGAAAGAATAAAACTATTCATAGTATTAATCATAAATTAATAGTAGCTTTAGTTACCATCATTGAGCTTGGTACTGGACTAAATATCTCTGGAATAATTCTGTGAGAGGTAAATATTACTATCTTCATTTTCCAGACCAGGGCCCTGCAAACATATTCAAGACCATACAGTTCATAAGTGGAAGGACCAGGATTTAGTCTCACTTTTCTCTTACCACATAGCCATAACCTTTAACCATCAAGCTTGCACTACTCTGTATAGCATCTGTATCTACATTGATCTCACATGGCTTTTACCATGATCTTTGATTTAAGTAATATTTGACAGAGTTTTTGTTGTTGTATTAAAATTTTACTACAAGTAGACCTATTATAAAGACTACACAAATTGCTACTATCTTGGGCAATGTTCAGAAGCCAAGAAGATACCTCATAGGAGTTCCTGGGAAGAATATTTGCATCATCCTAGAAGTAAGGGAAGCAATGCTTCTAAAGTGCGTACAGTTTTGGCCCAGTCCTGCCTTCACATGCTAGGGTATCAGCAGAGTGGCTGACTCTAGAATCAATTTCAGGTATAGAAGCTACACCTCATGATGCAATTGATCAAAGCGACCATACACCTATTTGATAGTCAAGGCCTAGATGCTCTGTCAGGAAGACAATGACAAAAAGCAGCACCCAGCAGTATTCTTTAGGGCTAAGAATATTCATACTCTCTATAACTATACTTCATTGCATGTAATCTGATGTTCTTTCTATATGATGTGTTTTTTCAGTGAAAGAACTTCAGCCATATGTACTGTACTAAAACATTTTGTTTTTCTAGGAGTTTTATCAGATGCCTTTAGACTAACAGTGTCATCCCAGTGGGCTTGGTTATAATAAAGTAAGAGGCTTTATTTTAAAATGTTTTCAGCAAGAACTGAGTTTGGAATCAAGTAGATTATGATGCTTGCTTTTACTTTGTCATTTTTCAGATACTAAGATTTGCTGAAGTTTTTTTTTTTAATCAAGAAACTATCACATATCCTGCTATTCAAGGAAATAGCATGAACTTAAAATTTACCAGATAAGACTTGGCAGTAATTTTTTTATAGATTTCATTCCTTCTTAGATTTCCTTGAACAACTTGCTTACTGCGAGAGCTTTAAAAATTAGACCTTCTTTCATAGACCTTACAAAATAAGTTGTACTTTATTTTCATGTCTCTGTACCAAGACCTAAAAGTTGAATTGGATGCTTTTAACGTTGGCATTTATCTTTAGCATAATCTAGAAAGTTTAGTGGCCTGTCACTCTTCCCTCCCTTCCTTTTTTCCCAGGATTTTGTTTATGTTGCTCAGATTCACATTGTAGGGAATATTTAGTTGTAATATTTAGCTCTCAAAATGTAACCGTATTCACAGATTCTTCTATATCTTTATGTTGCAACAAGGTAGAATTGCTCATTGAGAATTTAGCAGTGGTAAATAAAGGTAAGGTAGTTGGAAGAAGGAGGATGCCATTAATTACCCAGGGAGAACTTCCTTCTACCTTTCTTTTCAGAAGAAGAAATTATTCAAAATCCACATATTCAGGAAAATAGTCTGGCAGTTGTGGGTCGGCTCTGAGACTCTGTTAGTATATCTAGTGCCCACATTAGATAATGAAGTTTATAATTGGGGCCATTTCGTTTTGAGATTTTTTAATTCTGGTGGTAAAAAAAGCTATCTATCTTACTGCCATTCCTTCTCTGTGTAGTAGAATTTGAGGCAGCATGCAAAGGAAGTAAGGGTCACCTAGGAAATCTTTCTTTTCAGTGCTCTTGGCTCCTGTTTCTTGACTTCGATTTGTAATGCCAGTTATTATTTGTTTTACTCAGTACTTTGTTTTGAAATGACTTTTGTACTAATGCCATAATTTCAGGTTGTATTGGTTTGTCTAATATGAGAGATTTTGGAAACCAGTATTAGATATTGTAGACACTTAGAAATATTATACCTCAGCAGTTCCCTGGAAGCTTTTAGTGTGCTATGAACGACAGTTTTAAAAGTAAGCTGTGAGGTTGTGTAGGAAGAATGAATACACATTGTAAATCTCCAAGAGAGAAAGAAAAAAGTCACATACATGCCTTTTTCCACCCTTATTTGAGCATGAAACACTTACTGCATACAGGACTGGAGCTCCATGAATACACCTTGGCAAAGGTCTCAGTTGAATGTTAAATGTTTTCAGATAAAATATAATTATGTTTTAAAAGTGGCTTCCAAAGTAGTACTTGAAAAAATAGTGTAGTCTTCACACTTTAACAAATTAGACGTTTTTGTGTGTTAATCTACTTTTTTCTTTAATTCCAGTGTAATCTTTTTAAAGTATAGCTATCCACACTGATAGCAACTAAACTAATGAGGTTTATTAAAATTTCCTTCAGCTTCAATACTTCTTTATTTGAGAGAAAATGCAGTAATTTGTTTGGATTATGGTTTTTGTCCTCATATCTAGTATTTTTGTATATGTAGCTTTTAATGATAGTATCAGATCTCAGATTACCAAGGCATGTCCAGTTCTAGACACAGTTCAGGATGCAGGGAAGTCTGTGCTGAGGATAAATGAGGTGTGTATTTTATAATAGAAGAGCCACATGGTCTTGTGGATTACACTAAAATAGGTATAAAAGCCACTGACTTTTAATTTAGGTTATATTATTTCCATTACTTTATGAACTGATCCAGTCACTTGCCTAGCTCCTCATAAACGGGACATTGTAAAGAAGTCCTATTAAATTACTGCTAAAATAGCTTGACTATTGTATAAATATAAATTAATAACAGAACATCTGAAAGAAAAATTTGAACTTTTATTTCACTTGTTGAATAATAGACTTTTAAGTTGCAGAATTTAATGGGATATTTAACCAGAGGGAAAGCCAGAATTTCAGGGGTCAAAGGAAGGAGGTAGTATAGTGGATGTCCTAACTTGAAAAGATGTATTATTATAGTTTTATACTTAAAAAGATGTATAAAGTCTGCTTTTATAATACCCACTTTATATCCATTTTATTCAGCACTCTATACTTAGTGCACCTAGCACAAGGTCTGACACACAGTAGTACCGTTGACCCTGAACTACACTGCATTTAGGGGCACCAACTCCCCACACAGTCAGAAATCCATGTATAACTTTTGACTCCCCCAAAACTTAACTAATAGTCTACTGTTGACCAAAAGCCTTACCAATAGCATAAACAGTCAACATATTTTGTGTTACATGTACTATATATTATATTCTTAGAATAAAGTAAGCTAGAGAGAAGATAAAGTAAGAAAATCATAAAGAAGTTACATTTATATTACTGTACTGTATTTACCAAGAAAAATCCACATATGAGTGGATGTCCAAACCCATGTTGTTCTGAAAAAAATGGATAAATGATCAAATAAAGGAAGACAGCATATATACCTTGACAAAAATCTTCTTCACTTACTGGGTGTTCTGAAGGTAGGTTTTATTTTCTACTTAGTAGAGATTATCAAGGAGGGGAGAATATGAGATTTTCATTGTCTGCCACGTGGGTAAATTTTAAAAAAGCCTGGGAAGTGTTAGTCTAATAAGATCACTGAATTGGATATCTTTACTTCTCACCCTTGCCCTCCTTGTTAATTAGTTGGATGCTGTTAACCAAATTAGTTTTATCTTTAGTTTGTTTTCTCTCTTTCATTTGATTAATGGGGATGACAATGCATTCTCCACCTTTTTACTTGGGTAGTAATGAGTGTCAAAAAAGGATAGTTGTGAAAGTTTACGGTCTTATAAAAAGCCCTGTCTTTTTTTGTTTAATTATTATTTACAGGCTGCCTAAATTGTATCTTTGTGAATTCTGTCTAAAATATATGAAAAGTAGAACTATTCTCCAGCAGCACATGAAGAAATGTGGTTGGTTCCATCCTCCTGCCAATGAGATTTACAGAAAAAATAATATTTCTGTCTTTGAGGTAAAGTAGATGTTTTTATAGTTGTCTTCCTATCATTTCGAATGTAGTGCCACCTATACTGTGTCTAATTGTACTTGGATTTTTTTGAAATGTTATTTTACTATTGTACTCAACGATTGAGTCCAATAATTCAGCTGTTATGAGAAGCAGAATTAGGCCAACCCAAATGGTACCAGGGTCACACCAGCTTGATCTCAGAATAAATTATTCTGTAACTCAGGATTCCATTTGATTATAAAACGCCAACTGATTGTTTATGTTTAGATGTGATAAAATTGCATCTTAGAGCCTTTGAAATGGTATTTAAATGAAAAAATTTCTCTTGCTCTACTTAAAGGAATATTTTGTAGAGGTATATTTAATAGCTGTAGTAAATCTTACTTTGTAAAGATACAAAAATTTTTTTTTCACTTCATCATGATGATATGACTTAGGCTATGTCTGTGATTCTGTTGTCAGTCATGGGTTTCTTGAGCCTCAGTTCTGTGGTGTCATCGCCAGGTGTTAATTTGAGTACCTGCCATGTATCCAGTTCTGTTATTGACTGTGATGATAGAATTTCAGATTGTCGGGATCTGCTCAGTCTCTAACTTTCTTGATTTTCCCTACACCTTCATTTTAGGGGAGCACTAGTGGAGCTCTTCACTTTGAGGGGAGGAGGAAGGGTGTGGTTTACAATACTGTTTCAGAATACCCAAGAGCAGACTGCTGCTCACCTTAAGCATATGTTGCTGTGTATTTTAAAAGAAGTACTACTAAGTTACTGAAATTGTGGAGGAGGTTTCAGTCCTGAAATAGCAATGTCATAGGGTTTAATGTGGGCATCCATTGGCATTTGCATAAAAGAGCAAGCTCTGGCAACTCCCAACAACACAGGTGTGTGTCAGGAGAAATACACTGCAGTGCTCCTGATCTTGGCCAACCCGGTTCCAAGAAATACCTCATTTGCCAGGTTCCTACCTAGGGAACCTGCTTGGTGCCTCTGGCATATACTCCTGAAAATAGCTTTGTTTGGGGTAAATCTGATCATGGCAGTCAGACTACATTGCTTCTCGCTGCTGGCATAGAGACTTTAGTTACACCTTGTTTTACTTAAATGTATTTTAGAAGAGGTTGCTTTTAGATCTTTTGTTGAATTACTTTAAAAAATGAATCAGATCAGCTTGCCATCTGAGGTATTACTGCAGCCACTCTTGTTGCAGAAAATGCAATTTTTAAAAGGGTCATCATTTCCTCGTCTAGCTAATCGTACTCTGTTGAAGTAGAGTATTTTATATGTTTAGTTGTCTTAAAACAGCAGGTACCCTAATTCTGCTGTTGAAAGGATAGCTTCCAGGTTCTGATCACTGACAGCTTCTCTTAGGCTGGACTATGGATACTCACAGGTATTTGTAAGTGATGTGTATTATTATTCTAGAACTAAAGAACCACTTTCCTCATCATTTTGTTCTTATTTTCCTCTAGGTTGATGGGAATGTGAGTACCATTTATTGTCAGAACCTGTGTCTCTTGGCAAAGTTGTTTCTTGACCACAAAACACTCTATTATGACGTGGAGCCATTTCTTTTTTATGTACTAACACAGAATGATGTCAAGGGCTGCCACCTTGTTGGCTACTTTTCTAAAGTAAGTATATCAGCTTAAAATTTGTTTGAATTCACATGGGAATCTGAAACAATCTTTGTCAGTTCTCACTAGGAGACACTACACAATGCAGCACCTTCTGGGTACCATCTAGCTTTTTGGAAAGGAAAATGAAGGAACATTCAGAAATGTACCAAGAGCTCGAAGGTGCTTAGTAACATTCAACAGACTGTACTCTCCTAGGAACATGAGCTGCCGTTTATACTCAAGAGGAAAAGTTTTTAAATCACTTCTAGTCCCACGGTAGTAATAGATAGAACTTGTGAAATAAACACAGTCAATACCTCTGTGAGCTTTTTCTCATTTTAAATCTTCTCGTCCTAGTTTAAATTTGAAGAATAGAAATAAGAATAAGAAGCCATTTTTATTCACGGGTATTTTCTCTCCTTCCTGTAATCTTCCATTCTCTTGGGGAGAACAAAAGGTGTTTTTTGTAGTAAAACAACATAAAAGATGTACTTTTATTTAAGCTATCCTATGATAAAATCTGAGTGTATGAAAGAGTTAAGTGGGAGTACCAGCTTTCTGTTAATTGTCTATTTCAGAAGTTAAGTATAATTTTATATATATTGCCTGATTTTTAAAAGGGCCTATGCCCAACATTTTGAGATTGTTTTTTGTGAAGTTAGATACAACCGATGGGGAGATGGGACTGCCCTGTGTAGCGCCAGACCAGGAAATATAAGAGAGTCTTTGAAGTGGTAGATGAGTTTTCCCATTTCTGGAGTGCCACACTGACTCATCATTTATAGCTTTGCAGTTTGATTGGGACTCAGATTCCTCTGCTCATCTTAGGCAATGGCATACTGTCTTTGAGTTGCAGATGGTATTAGATGGCATAATTTTATTTTACATTTTTATTCTCCTGGGATGGTTGCTTTGTGGGTAATGGCAATGACTTAACATTGTCCTGTCTCCTCCCAGTGGGGTATTTTTTTTCTTGATGTGCATGCTATTCTCAAAGGACCAGGGCTATGGTTTTGACTGTTAGTCTTTGTTTCTTAATAATTAGCATTACTATTCAGTCTTACTCGCATGTTGTTTTAAAACTTTCTTTACCAGGAAAAGCACTGCCAACAGAAGTACAACGTTTCCTGTATAATGATTCTTCCCCAATACCAGCGTAAGGGCTATGGCAGGTTTCTCATCGATTTCAGTAAGGATTATAATAATTTTTCATTATCTCTTCTTGTGGACCTCCTGTATATATATATATATTTTTAGAGATTTGCAGATGATTTATTGGTTGCTAGTATCTTTCGTCACAGTATGGGACTTTAAAACCTAAAGTCATGAATTTTTTTCTTTTGATTGGACATGAAATATTTTTAAATAGCTTATACCGAACACCAACTTTTTATGATCTGTTGCATATAGTTTGAATTTTCAACTCTTAATTTACAGGTGGAACTTAGTTTCATGATAATTCTAACTCAGAGCAATACTCAACACATTGTGTAAGTTAGTACAGTAAAGAAGTACAGCACTCACCTTATTTGTTACCTAATTATCAGGGAAAATACGTACATCATTTTTTAGTTACGGGCTCTACCTAGTGGTTAAAATATGCAGTGCACCTTAAAAAAATGTTAAAAATAAATGGCATAGGAAATAATTTAATCTGACTTAAACATTGAAAGCCAAACAGCTCTAAAAAGTCATTGTAGAATTTGAATTTTGTTTTACGTGTTGATAGTCTTGCTTAGAAAGTAAATATATGCTTACAGTAAATTTTATATTGATTATAACAAAGTGATTTTTGAGGGAATATTTTGATACAGGCAGTTCTTCTAAATATCAGATGATTATATCACCAGTGTTAAGAAGTTAATTCTCAGATGGACCAGTTCAGCTTATTCTAGTTGGCCTTAGACTGTACTCCTGACCGTATTTTATTGGAAATATGTGCCATTGATTATTTTGTACGTTTTCTTGGCCTTCTTAGATTGGTAGTAGAGAGTGCAACTCAGATTATTTCCTTTAATATCAATATATTGTTTTGAAGTAGGACTCGTGTTTGGATGTGTTATGCCATTAAGTAGCAAAGTTAGGGGAAAATATTTTATTATACTAATTAGTTATACTTTTGAGATACGCAAACAGCAGTCTGTGATTACAGTATTTGTTTTCATTTGCTTTTCCTAATGTAATCTATTTTCCCACATTACCATTCACAGACTGCTTTTTAGTAGTTTCCTTTGATGACAAAAAACTGCATTTCTTCTGCCATCTCCATTGTTGATGCTCTCAGAATTTATGCCTTTTTTTTTTTTCAAATATTTTATTTATTTATTTGACAGAGAGAGACAGCGAGAGAGAGGGAACACAAGCGAGGGGAGTGGGAGGGGGAGAAGCAGGCCTCCCGCCGAGCAGGGAGCCCGATGTGGGGCTCGATCCCAGGACCCTGGGACCATGACCTGAGCCAAAGGCAGACGCTTAATGACTGAGCCACCCAGGCACCCCTGTTTGGTTTTTTTTAAAGATTTTATTTATTTATTTGACGGAGAGAGACACAGCGAGAGAGGGAACACAAGCAGGGGGAGTGGGAAAGGGAGAAGCAGGCTTCCCGTCGAGCAGGGAGCCTGATGTGGGGCTCGATCCCAGGCCTCTGGGATCATGACCTGAGTCGAAGGCAGACGCTGAACGACTGAGCCACCCAGGCGCCCCAATTTATGCCTTTCTTTTTCTGTTCTTGAGAGTCCTGCTCTAGACAGGAGAACAGATACCACCATACACTCACAGGGACACCCTCACGCTGACATCCTTGCTCACTAAGAGTTTAAGGGTAAGAGGTCATAGTGAGGAGAGCTTTGGCTGAAGTGAGAAATTGTCATCTGATTCACTCACAGAAGAACCACGATCTTAACAGATAGGATTATGTAAAAATGAAGGCATTCTTTTGTATTGTTTAACAATTCAGATATAGCTGTTGCTATCTGGTGGTCCAAGTAAAAATGCAAGGGAGGTTTTCCCCCGTAAAATAAAAAGCGTTATTGCCTTAATCTTATTAATGCATCCTATTAATATGAAGTCCTCTGATTTATTTTAACAGTGTGATTTATAGTAAGTATAGACAAAGTAATACTAACCTAAGGTTCAGTGTATACAAATTACATAATCTTGTGCAAATCTGTGTTGAAGTAATTTTTCAGTTTTGTTCTTTTTCTTGAAGGAATTTACCCTTGACATTATTATTGCCTATACTACTTAGATTGGTTGTGGAAGAGGGAATTGTTATTTTGGTGAATTAGCCTATTTTAGGCTCTCTGACATATTTGTGATTCGGGGGTTTCTTTAGGTTATTTGTTATCAAAGCGTGAAGGCCAAGCAGGGTCTCCAGAGAAACCATTATCCGATCTAGGTCGTCTTTCCTACATGGCTTACTGGAAAAGTGTAATATTGGAGTGCCTTTATCACCAAAATGACAAGCAAATCAGCATTAAGAAGTTAAGCAAGTTGACTGGAATCTGCCCTCAAGACATTACTTCAACACTCCACCACCTACGAATGCTGGACTTCCGCAGTGACCAGTGAGTATCACATCCCTTCGTATACTTTCCAAAGACAATTAGGTAGAAGTGTTTGGATGAGGCAGCCAGATTATCAGTGAAAGGGCATAAACTAATATAAGTGGTACATTGGTGATCCTGAGACACCATTTTCGTTTCTGTGATATTTGATACCATTGACCGCATTTTTTTTTTTTCAACTGTATTTTCTGGTCTTCCTTCTAACTTTCGGACCTAAGCTATTGAAGCTTTTCTTTTCTAATGTTGGCAGCACCTTTAATACAAGAGGTAACAACTCTAGAAATAATGTCTAATAAAATATTCCCATGATTTATTTCCATATAAAGTGGTACAAAGTAAAATGTAGGTCAAAGGAAGGTCAGCTCACCCTTATCTAAAGGGGTTGGGAAAAGATCACAGAGAAAGGAAGGAGGCATTGGGCTAGAAAGATGGAGGATAGGAGATAGGGTACAGGAGAGTAGCAGCAATTCCAGAGGTGGGAAGTGTGAGACAGTGAATGGTTAAAATCACTTCATCCATTGTTCTCATTGAGTGTGAAGTAGCTGTCCAACTTCGTATTTCTTAGCTATCTCATATGGTGGCTGTTGTTATTTCTGTATTTCATGCTCCCGAGTGGGCAGTTTTTGAAGGATTTGTCATTACCTCCATGGTTTTCTGGGGATTATAGCTCCATATTCATTGTTAGGTACTCCTTGTACATCGTTGATTGCTATAAACTTTGCTCTGGTTCCAGATTTGTGATAATCCGCCGGGAAAAACTTATCCAGGATCACATGGCAAAGCTTCAACTGAATTTGCGACCTGTAGATGTAGATCCAGAATGTTTGCGCTGGACTCCTGTCATAGTCTCCAATTCTGTTGTCTCAGAGGAGGAAGAAGAGGAGGCTGAGGAAGGCGAAAACGAAGAGCCACAGTGCCAGGAAAGAGAATTAGAGACGAGTGTAAGGGCATGACTAGTCTCTGTTTTTGATGACAGAAGGCTCTGGTTTTGGTTCATGAGTATTGTGATACGTGTTACATACAATATCTTAAGCCCACACAGTTCACATTAGCATTTCAGGGTTGATTTCAGTGATAGAAATTTTAGGAAGACTGGGTTTTGTTTACTTATTTGTAGATTTTTAAGCCTTGGATCATTAGGAGACCTTCAAATTTGTTACAATGTATTACTTAGAACTAAGAATTCCTTACCAGGGTCCTGATAAACAGCTAAAGTTCAAGCTGTGTGGTAGTAATTGAGGAATCTGAATTTAATTTAATTCTGACCATTGTTAAAAATGAAATGAATATCCCTTTTCCTTAAAATAAAACATTAAGGAAATAATATAAACGTGTATGTTTTCTAATAGAGCACTAAATAATTCAGTGGGTACAGAATGTCTTTAAGCCGTTAAAGGGTTAATGAGGGACTGTACAACATTTCGTAGTGTTCAGTATTTTTCTTCATGTGATGCGTATCTTTCTCTGTTCTTTTTTTTTAAGCTGTGCTTTCATCCTTTAAAAATCTATGTCCTCTTTTGATAAACGTAAGCAGTTTCACGCCCATTTAATGTAATTTAATTTTCAAAATGAAATTAAATATTCAGAATAAAAATAAATCAAAATAACTACAGACATTTTCTTTCATTTTTTTCAAACACCCCCTTTTTCTTGCCCATGCTCCAGAGCCCATCTCCTCTCTGTTTATAAATTTTATTGCTGAGAAATTTGGTAAATTATATCATTTAACATTTATAAGAACAATGCTGTTCACTTCGTTTATTGAAGGTGGGATTACATAGTGGCTAAGAGCACTAGCTCTTGGGTCAGACTGCCTGGGTTTAGATCCCAGCTTCCACATTTGCTCTTGCATGTCCTAGGGCGAGTTACTTGTATTTTTTGTGCCTCAGTTACCTCGTTTGTAAAATGAGATTATAATAATAACACTTCATACAATTGTTGTAAGGATTAAATGAATCTTATTAAGCATTTAAAGCAGTGCCTAACACATGAGAGATATTCCTGATAGCTATTAAATGATACTTTTCTTTTTAAAGCTCTGTTTTCTTATCTCTATTTAAGAGGTCAGATAGGAGGTATAAAAATAAGACTGAAAAATTAATCAGCATGGTTTTATTTTCCAAAATCAGGTGGGAAAGTCTGCATCTCGGGAGAACAAAGAACAAGATTCTTACTCCTCAGTAGAAAGTGAAAAGAAACCAGAAGTTACGGCACCAGCCAATACTACGCGTCTGCACAAACAAGTCCTTTCCCGTGATAGTCTTCCTGCAAATAACCAGCCATCCCGGAGAGGCCGCTGGGGGAGGAAGAACAGAAAAACCCAGGAACGTTTTGGTGATAAAGATTCTAAACTGCTCTTGGAAGAGACTTCAGCTCCTCAGGAACAATACGGAGAATGTGAGGAAAAATCAGAAACCTCCCAAGAACAATACACTGAAAGTGAGGAGCAGTTGGCAGCCTCTCAGGAGCAGCCAAGCCAGGATGGAAAGCCAGACATCCCCAAAAGAAGACTAAGTGAGGGGGTTGAGCTCTGGCGAGGACAGCTAAAGAAGAGCCCCGAGGCACTGAAGTGTAGATTACCAGAAGGCACTGATAGACTGCCCCGTCGCTATAGTGATGGTGACAGGGCTCTCCTCAGAGGCTTCAGTGAGAGTAGTGAGGAGGAAGAAGAGCCAGAAAGTCCTCGGTCCAGCTCCCCACCAGTTCTTACAAAGCCCACATTGAAGAGAAAAGTAAGGTTTTTCTTTTGACTTGTTTCTTTTGACTTGTCTGTTCTTTTCCGAATTGCAGCTTATTATATACATCTGTTCTAGAGTTCTGAAAAAGTAAATATAGAAATTGTTAGTGTGTTATTTTTTTAGACTTTATGCCTCAGTGTATTGTAGCTTATGATCTTCCCAGTGAACATTTGAAATGTGGATATGGCTTCTGTGGTTCATGGGAATGAACATAGATGTCATAAGCTTATTTAAGGACTGACAAACTGTTTTTCAGCTTGCTGGTTTGATGTTGTAATCATGACTTTTAGGGATTTGTCAAGTATTTTAAAAGTATGTATAGATTAGAAATGTTTATGTTAGAAAAGGAGAAAAGTATCGGACGGCTTGATGGACAGCGGTGCCCTGTGTTGGGGTGCTCAGAGAGGCCGTTCGTCTTAGGTGGGGGTGGGCCTTTTTCCCTGTGCTTTCTTCTCCTGTCTCCATCTCTCCCTTCTTTCTTTCAATGGTTTAACTTAACCTGGTTTTAAAAGTATTTTCTCAACTTTGTCTCGTCATCTTGCAAAGTTTGAATGATAACCAGTTTATAAATGTGTTGTGATACTGATAATGAATTCTGGCAAACCGTATACCAGAACTGTCCCAGGCTGTGCAGTGAACTTTAAGCATTGCCGCAAGCCAGCCAGACTGAGCTCAGCCTCCTGGATGAGCCACCCTGTAGTAGTGGGGTGACAGCTTTCATCCAAAGCAGCGAAATTGTTCCTTTCCTTAGCAGAACCTTATGGGGGGAGGGGGGAGCAGGGCAATATATAAAAACATAAGTTTTTAATTTTAGAACAGTTTTAGATTTATGCAATTATTGCAGAGAAAGTACAGAGAGTTCCTGTATTCCTTATAGGCAGTTTCCCCTACTGTTAACCTCTTACGTTGGTATAGTACATTTGTCACAAATAGTGAACTAGTATTTTATTAACTAGACTCCATACTTTATTTAGATCTCCTCAGTTTTCCTGTATGTCCTTTTTCTGTTCCAGGACCTCATCCAGCACACCACATTACACTTAGTAGTCATGCCTCTTTGGTCCCTCTTGATTGTGACAGTTTCTCAGACTCCTTGTTTTTGATGACCTTGACAGTTTGACGAGTACTGGCTAGGTATTTTAGAACATCCCTCATGATATTAGAATGGGGTAATATGTTTTTGGGAAGAAGACCACAGAGGTAAAGTGTCATTCTTATCATATAAAAGGTATCTGATAAATATGTATGTACACACACATACACACCAAACACAAGAGTATTACTGTCAGTATGACTTTTCACTATTGCTATCAACCTAGATCACCCGGTTTGAGGTTGTGTTTGTCAGATTTCTCCACTGTAAATTAGTCACTCCTTTTTCCCCTTTCCCATGCTGTACTCTTTGGAAGGTAGTCACTGCCAGCAGTGATATGGAGAGTTATACTCTGTTCCTTAGGAGCAGAATATCTGTGTTAATTATTTGGAATTCTGCTTAGAGATTTATTCATTACCACCCATCTGTTTTCTTATTCAAGCATTTACTAATACCGGCGTAGTTTATTTATTCAAGCATTTATTAATACTGGCGTAGACTCGGATATTTACTTTATACTTTGAGTTACAACCCAGCAGTACCACTTGATTTAATTTGTTGCTCAAATGTTCCAGCTTTGGCCATTAGGAGTTTTTTAAGTTTTGCTCCCACGTCCCTTTAACATAATACGTACCGTCATCAGTGTAAGGTTTTTTGTTTTGTTTTGAGCACTTCCTTACTTTCTAGTACTACAGGATATTCTAGGTTCATCTTGTATATTTCATGTCCCAATCCTAGAGTCAGCCATTTTTCCAAAGAGCAGAGCCAAATGTGTTGAACCTGGTTTGAAAATTGTACTCTCAACTGAAAGGCCTAGTAAATTTAAATTTGAAGTGGAGAAAAACTCAGCACTAGCTAATTCTGCCATTCATTACGCGATCATGAAGAATGTATCTTTGCCATTCCAGGCTTATATTGCCTATTTATAAGATAAAATTATGCTATTTCCCTGTGTAAACAAGAGAATATTGTAACAGGCAGTGAGATCATGCACAAAATACTTGAAGTTCTTAAATTCTCATGACTGGTAGTCAAGAGACTATATTTTACAACCGTTTCTTGTGCTGACTGGGTATGTGACCTTAAGCAAGCCCTGTAACCTTTCTCGCCATAGAGGGCATTGGATTAGATCATTTCCGGTGCATCGTCTTTATCATTTTGTTGTCTCTATTATGAGCCATGAGACAAACAGAAAGTGTTTTGTTTTTTTTTTCTCTTGAGGTAAAGAGATGTTAAAGGACTAGCTTCTCTGTCATTTCAGTATTGAAATAGGCATTTCCCTAGAGTGTTAAATGTAACTGAAGTATTAATAAGGGAATTATAATATCTGCTCTTTGGGCATGCCTTTTATAAAGTTGTATTCAATCATCCAACATCTTTCTGTGATAACTTTATGTGTAGTATCTTACTGTAGTATTTTGAAATAATACTCAAAATGTCTCTTGGCAAACAGTGTACCCATTTTATATGTGCTAATTCTATTAGGTTCAGACACTGTTCATTATGTTATTAATAGAAGTGATAGCATTCATTACTGTAAATAAAATACTTCCTTCCTCTTTTAAATAGAAACCAATTCTTCACCGAAGGAGGAGAGTTCGAAAGCGCAAACACCACAATAGCAGTGTGGTCACAGAAACTATTTCTGAGACTACAGAGGTGTTAGATGAACCTTTTGAAGACTCTGACTCCGAGAGGCCAATGCCAAGATTAGAACCCACGTTTGAGATTGATGAAGAGGAAGAGGAAGAGGATGAAAGTGAACTCTTCTCTAGAGGGTACTTCCATCGCCTCTCCTCACAGGATGTGCTCAGGTGTCGATCCTCTTCTAAGAGGAAATCTAAAGATGAAGAGGACGATGAAGAGTCAGATGATGCCGATGGTATGTTTTAGAGAACTGTTGCTTATGGTAGTTTTATTGTTTTTAAAGAAACAGGCTGCAAGTGATAGCTGCAAACCCTTCCATCAAAAGGCTGAAAGAGCGACACTCCCCACTAAGCCAGTAAAGGATGGCCAACTTGGTAACCTCTCAAAATTTGTATCGAGTATATTCATCCCTATTTTCTCATTGAGCTCTCTGTCCTTTTAAAAAGTTTTTTTTTTTTTCCTAGTTTCCCCTTCAGGGGACCTATTTTTGCCTCTGCAGAAAATATCTTGCTATCAGGATATTGTTCTTTTTTGCCTAATCCTTTCTCAGCCATTATCTGAATCTTTAGTTAATGGGTGGATTGGATTTAGCATCAGGAAGACATTGAAGTAATAACCCTTTACTAGATAGAAAGTACACTCTGTGGACCTACCTGTTTTGCTAATTGTTGTATGCTGAGTGCTTAAAATAGGCACTCGGTAGGGCGCCTGGGTGGCTCAGTTGGTTAAGCGACTGCCTTCGGCTCAGGTCATGATCCCGGAGTCCCGGGATCGAGTCCCGCATCGGGCTCCCTGCTCGGCAAGGAGCCTGCTTCTCCCTCTGACCTTCCCCCACTCATGTACTTTCTCTCTCTCTCATTCTCGCTCTCTCAAATAAATAAATCTTTTTTTTTTTTAAAGATTTTATTTATTTATTTGAGAGAGAGAATGAGAGAGAGAGCATGAGAGGGGTGAGGGTCAGAGGGAGAAGCAGACTCCCTGCCGAGCAGGGAGCCCGATGCGGGACTCGATCCCGGGACTCCAGGATCATGACCTGAGCCGAAGGCAGTCGCTTAACCAACTGAGCCACCCAGACGCCCAATAAATAAATCTTTAAAAAAAAAAATAATAAAATAAAATAAAATAGGCACTCAGTAAATATTGTTAAATGGATACATGCTAGGAAGATGGTTCTTAAGTAAGATCAGATTCATGTAAATTGGACTTGCTTCACATCTGTTCAGGAATCCTTCTGAATCATATCTCTAATGTGCCTTTCTCTGTGAGTAGTAAATTTCTAATAAAAGTGGTAACAATGCCTCAGGGTAGGTTAAATTTTATGGCATAGTGCAAAATCCAGTGATTTACTTTTAAAATAGCCTTGTCGTTTAGAAGTAAAGAAACTGGGGCTCATATATGAGCTGGGTCACAGACCAGGTCATTTACATCCTACCCTAAAGTTTCTGCTGGTGCATTATGCTGCCTGCGTCTGCAGTGTTTGCCTAAAAGGGGGGGGGCGGGGGGTGGTCAAACTCAGCTTTTTTTTTTTTACTTTGCTGGGTGAATTTGGGGGAATCCAGTTGTCCACTCTTGGTGGAATTACAGCATTTATTTATTAATTGAGCTTTTTATTCTTTAAAAATAAATTTGCTCAATTTCATATCTAGTAGAAACTTGCATTTTCTCCATTCTCATATTTTTATATAAGAAATACTTTTAATATAGTGACAAGATGACTGAGTGCTTTGCTGTGAATGATTTTCTGCAGTTTTGTTGTGTTACGCTTTGAGGTATATAACTAGGAAACCAGAGATTTATTGTGTAAATTTGGCCCTTCAGTAAAATTCTCTCTTGGATCATTGTAGACTAAAATAATATCCCTTGTTTAAATTTTTGTTGACTAGGACAGATTTTCTGTGATGTGGCCATTTCCTTTCTTTATTTCCACGGTATTATTGTCAGTTGTGCCTTTGTAGCTTCCCCCTCAAAATCCTGTTCTTGCCTTGGTGTTCTTCCCTTTAAAAACTAATGGGATTAATGAAAGAAAAATTAATGGGAAATATGAATGTACTTAATGCTGCACCACACTGGACACCTAAACATGGTTGAAATGGTACATTTTCTGCTATGCATAGTTTACTACAATCTTTAAAAATAGAAAAAAGTAATGGGGAGAAAATAATGCTAATCAAATTTATTTCTAATAAATCATTGTCATTGGTGCTTTCACTTTTTCTTCAGGTCAGTATTTGTCTAGGACTAAAGGCCTTGCGGCTGTTCCCATACAAACACAACATCGATTGAGCAGTTATTCATGTAAGATTGCTCAGTCATGGCCTGGGGTAATTAACTCATGATATTACCTGAAGTAATGATTTTATGGAAACCAAGAAAACCAGAGAGAGAATATAAATTGCAAACAGGAAAAAGAAAAAAGAAGAAATGAGCTGATTTGTGACTTAGACAGTAAAGACCGCTTGTCTGAAGTAGTTGTAATCACTGCTGAGCATTTGCATCTTTACGCGGCTTAGCTCCATTTTCTAGAGGAGAAAACGGACTTGCAGACTAACTTCTAAAGCCGTGCAGCTGGTGATGATAAACCTGAACTGGTTTTAAGTAGTGGGGGGCAGCAGAGTGTTGACCAGGATTCTTTCCTTGTTCTGCCAGCTCACTGCGTGACTTTAGAAGAGGTCTTTATTAGGTCTCTCCTTTAGATTCTTAACTTGAAAGTGAAGGTAATCTGGAGTTTGTGATGATTAATAAAACTATTTGTGTTGCACATGTAGTCTCAGAAAAAGGCACTGGTACAAGTAGAAAATCTTGTAACTTTTTTTTAATGTGTTGTTTTGTTTTGTTTTTATTCCTCTTGTATAGACACTCCTGTCCTAAAGCCAGTATCTCTCTTGAGAAAATGTGATGTGAAGGATTCTCAGCTTGAGCCAGATACATCCACACCTATGAAAAAGAAGAAGGGATGGCCCAAAGGCAAAAGCCGCAAACCAATCCACTGGAAGAAAAGACCTGGTCGCAAACCAGGATTTAAGTTGAATCGGGAAATCATACCCGTTTCTACTCAAGAATGCGTTGTTGAGCCCATTGTCCCCATTCCTAAAGCGGGACGTAAAGCCAAACTTCAGGAGAACGAAGAAACTGTTGAACCAAAAGAAGACTTGCCTTTAACTGAAGAAAGGAAGGAAGAGGAGGAGATGCATGTGGAAGCAGAAGAGGTTGAAGAGGGAGAAGAAGAAGACACAACCAGCAGTGAAGTTAGAGCAGCATCTCCAGTAGATAGCAACAGTCCTGAGACAGAAACGAAAGAACCCGAGATAGAAGAGGAGGAGGAGAAGCCCCGTGTCTTAGAAGAGCAGAGGCAATCAGAAGAGGAGCAACAAGAACTAGAAGAACAGGAGCAAGAGGAAGAGGATGAAGTGGCTATAGAGACAAACCAGAATGAAGACCATGATGCAGATGATGAAGATGATGGTCATCTGGAATCTACCAAGAAAAAAGAGCTGCTAGAGGAGCAGCTCATTGGAGAAGATGTCAAGGAGGAGCCCGGTGGTCAGGAGTCTTTTTTAGATACTAATATGCAGAGCAGTAGGGAGAATATAAAGGATAAAGAGGAAATGGAACCAGATTCTGAAGAGGAACAGACTTCACATGAAACGTCCATGGTATCAGAGCATATGCCGGGGTCTGAGGATGATCATGAAGAAGATTCAAACTCTAAGGAAGAATTAATTGAACTGAAAGAGGAAGAAGAGATTCCTCATAGTGAACTGGATCTGGAAACCGTGCAAGCAGTGCAGTCTTTGACTCAAGAGGAAAGTAACGAGCACGAGGGAGCCTACCAGGACTGTGAAGAAACTCTGGCAGCGTGTCAGACCCTGCAGAGTTACACCCAGGCTGATGAAGACCCTCAGATGTCAATGGTTGAAGACTGCCATGCTTCGGAACATAATAGTCCAATATCTTCTGTCCAGTCTCATCCCAGCCAGTCGGTCCGTTCGGTCAGTAGTCCCACCGTGCCTGCCCTCGAAAGTGGTTACACCCAGATCAGCCCGGAGCAAGGATCCCTGTCCGCACCCTCTATGCAGAACATGGAGACCAGCCCCATGATGGATGTGCCTTCCGTATCAGACCACTCTCAGCAGGTGGTGGACAGTGGCTTCAGTGACCTGGGCAGCATCGAGAGCACCACAGAGAACTACGAGAACCCCAGCAGTTACGATTCTACAATGGGCGGCAGCATCTGTGGGAACAGCTCTTCGCAGAGCAGCTGCTCCTACGGCGGCCTGTCATCCTCCAGCAGCCTCACCCAGAACAGCTGTGTTGTCACTCAGCAAATGGCCGGCATGGGCAACAGCTGCAGCATGCTGCCGCAGAACGGCGTGCAGCCCGCCGCGGCCAACTGCAGCATCAAGTCACCTCAGAGTTGTGTGGTGGAGAGGCCTCCGAGTAACCAGCAGCAGCCGCCGCCGCCGCCGCCGCCGCAGCAGCCGCCGCCGCCGCCCCCGCAGCCGCCGCCCCCGCAGCCGCCGCCGCCGCCGCCGCAAGCGGCCCCGCAGCCGCCGCCGCCGCCCCCGCAGCCGCAGCCGCCGCCGCCGCAGCCGCCGCCGCCCGCGCCGCCGCCGCCCCAGCAGCCCCCGCCCCCGCCGCCGCCGCCGCCGCCGCAGCAGCAGCCCCCGCTGTCGCAGTGCAGCATGAACAACAGTTTCACTCCAGCGCCCATGATCATGGAGATCCCGGAGTCGGGCGGCACTGGGAACATAAGTATTTATGAGAGGATTCCAGGGGACTTCGGGGCCGGCAGCTACTCGCAGCCGTCGGCCACCTTCAGCTTGGCCAAGTTGCAGCAGCTGACTAACACCATTATGGACCCTCATGCCATGCCTTATAGCCATTCTCCTGCTGTGACTTCCTATGCAACCAGTGTTTCTCTGTCTAACACAGGACTGGCTCAGCTGGCTCCATCTCATCCATTAGCTGGGACCCCTCAAGCACAAGCCACCATGACGCCGCCGCCGAACCTGGCATCCAGCACCATGAACCTCACGTCCCCTCTGCTGCAGTGCAACATGTCTGCCGCCAACATTGGCATTCCTCACACGCAGAGGTTGCAAGGGCAGATGCCGGTCAAGGGGCACATTGCCATCCGCTCCAAGTCGGCGCCGCTGCCCTCCGCGGCTGCTCACCAGCAGCAGCTGTACGGCCGCAGCCCCCCAGCGGTTGCCATGCAGGCCGGCCCTCGCGCTTTGGCTGTTCAGCGTGGCATGAACATGGGGGTCAACCTGATGCCGACCCCCGCCTATAATGTCAATTCCATGAATATGAACACCTTGAACGCCATGAACAGCTATCGAATGACACAGCCCATGATGAACAGCAGTTACCATAGTAACCCTGCCTACATGAACCAGACAGCACAGTATCCTATGCAGATGCAGATGGGGATGATGGGGAGCCAGGCCTATACCCAGCAGCCTATGCAGCCAAACCCTCATGGAAACATGATGTACACTGGCCCCACCCATCACAGCTACATGAATGCTGCTGGCGTGCCCAAGCAGTCACTCAATGGACCTTACATGAGAAGATGAGCAAGATGGACTTGCAACTAAAACTTAAATATATATAAATAAAGGAACCTTTTATACTGACAAACCAGAGAAAAATGGACCTTTTTCCAGTTAAAATATTGCTGTAGATTTAGAGGAATTTTTCTTTGGTTTTATTTTATTTTTTAGAAAACCTGGTCTTCTCTTTTTTTGGGTTCATTTTGTTCTGGGTTTTGGTTTTCTTCACAATCTTGAACATTTTACAATAGAACTCATCTAAAAATGGATTTGGGGATAGGGGAAACATGCACAAAAATCTTTTCATAATTAAAAAGAGCCTTACTTTCTTTACACACCACATGGACAGAATTTGTGTAAAAGTGAATTCTCTTTATTTTAAGATGTATGTTTCCCCTCACTGTTTGCAGCTCCCAGTGTTGTCATTTTTAAATGTTATATATACATCTCTGGGGTTAACCAGACCCTTTCCTCCAAACCCAACCTTTCATTTCCTACTTCATTCCAGCAGGAGGCACTTACGGGAGACTCGGATGGGGACATGGAGAACAACCCAGGCTCCTTAAACTTATTATTATTGTTAATATTATTATTATTATTATTAATAAAGCGAGGCAGGAAAATGCTTCTCCTTTTAAAATCCCCTCCACTCCCTACACACACACACACACACACACACACACACACACACACCCTCTTGAAACCTTTCCCCAAGAATGTTTCTTTAAGATGGACTTCATTAAAATGTTTGTTTTTCTTTAAGTCAAGTGTAATATAATTTTTTTCTTTTTGTTTTTTTTTTTGTTGACTATTCCCACTCAGCACTCAGAGACACAAAAATACTGTAAGTCTCAATTAACAGCAGAATCTCAGAGGAAAGCTGTTTGCAATCCTAATCCAGCCTTGGAGGAATAGAGATGGTCAATTAACAATCAGAAAAGAGGAATTTTACCTCTTGTTTTTTACCACCTGGTGAATCAGCCATAACGCACATACTCCACACAGCCTCTTGTTTTTAGTATGTACTTTGAGATGCTAAGGGTCTTGATTCTCGAGCCTTTGACTCTGACTAAACTCAAACAGCAGTCCCCAATGATTAGCCTCTTACATTCTTACATAAAGTGTTGATGGATGACTGTACATTTCAGTGATTTGAAAAATACCTGACAAACATTTGACACTGTTTATTTTATGTTGGAAGAGATGACGTAAGGGAGATCATGGTCTGAGTTTTATGGCTACTTAAATGATACATACCTCTAGTTTTCATTTGTCTTGAGATCCTGAGTTCATTCCCTGTGAATCAGAATGCACCAGCCCCTCTCCTGTGAGTGGTTAAAAGAGAAGAGGGATAAACCAACCACCAGCATAGTAGGGCAAATCTGGACAGCAGGGTTTTAGCAGGTTCCTGTGTTGCTCCCAACTCCCATTGTCTTTTCTCTCGTGCAGCCAGTTCGCCCATTCTCTTCCTATTACTTGCTCCAGGGATAGGTAAAAAATATATATATATATCTATATATATATATCTATATATATGTTCCATCATTAGAAGATGGAAACTATTATACCACTTGGTATGTGCAGTCAAATATCCAAAAGGGGGAAGAACTGCTTAAAGAAATACCTGTAAGCATTAGATTCTCTCCTTTATTTGTACATTTTATATAGATAAATTTTTGAAGTACTAATTAGGCATTAAATTTTTTCAAATGCACAGGTTTGTTGTTTTTTTTATACACTTTAATTGACTTTCTCAATTAAATGTGTTAGGTAGAAAACGGCAGAATTCCACATCTTAACCGCTATCAATTCTGAGCATGTGCAAGGCTGTGTAGGACCCAGTTTCTCTGTATATACTCTTCCAGTTCCCAATCATCTATGTAGAAAGTGCACTGTGCTGCCCTCTCCCTACATCTTCAGCTATGTCATTGCTTCCTGGTTGGGGTGGGGATGGGGTGGGTCGGGAGGGAGGTATCTTGGGTGGAGGGTGGGTCAAGGCAGAAGGAGAAGCTGTTGAAATGAGGGCCGTGAATTCAGTTTCTGTTGGTTTGCGGTTGTGTTTGGTTTCATTTGTTTCTTTAAAAAAAAAAAAAATTCAATCGGGCAGCTCCCTTTTCCACAAGCCTTTTTGTGACTGTAGAACTATTGTAGAGAAAATGTTCTTTTCTATATTATAAAAGAAATTATCCAACACAGTAATATTGGTACCTGTCATTTTTTCACTTCTGTTTAAAAAAAAATGTATTTTTAGCAAGATAACTTGGGTAATCTTCTAAAAAAGAAATTTAAAAACTCACTGTTAGTGACTTTGATGCCTTTTAAAATAAGAGCTTTTTCATTTCATTCCATCTTTAAAATTTTTTATCTTTGTTGTAGAATATTAAAAACTATTTTAAGAAAGATAAAAATTCTCTTTAAAGAGATCTCTAGAGTGTGTGAATAGAGCTCCAGATGCCTCTAAAAGCCGCATGTACAAATGAAGCTAAGTCTATTCCTGTCTGTTTATATTTGCTTTTCCTGTTTTGTAACCTCTTTGTACTTTGTTCATGGTGACTTGTAAGCTATGGGGAAGGGGTGCCTAGATGCCTTTGTATTTCTCCATGTCATGCGCTCCTGGGCCAGTTGGTCTCCCTTCCTCTCCTTGTATGTAATATCACTTTTTTTTCCCCTTTCTAGCAAGTACTTTCAAAAGAACTCTGTACATTTTAACATAAAAAAAATAAATTATGTTGAGCCATTTTGGATGTCTGTCTTGCATGTGGAATTTTTCTCCCAAATATTTCACACTCTCCAGTTGTTTATAAATATTAGCCTTTTTCACATTCCTCTTTATACAGCAAGTATCAGTTCGTGGCCTTTACTTTGAAGTGCCAGTCTTCACTCATACGTGTGTTTAAATGCTGACAATGTAGATAGTTTTTCCTCGTCAATGAAAATTTTGGTATCAACCTCACTTTGGATTTTTGAGGGAAATCCATTTGAAAACCTAAAGGGACTCACTCAACCAAAAAACGGAAATGCAGTTGCAATACAAGGGGTTCCTAGAATTGGAACAAAGCAGTTTTCTCATCTCAGCTTACCCGATTATGTTATCGAGAAGATTTGCCAGAAATCAAGGTCCTGAACATAAATGATCTTTTTTGATGTTTTCTGAGTTGTACTTGGTCTCTCTTCATTTAGAATTTTGGATACGAGGCAGACTCCAGAAAATTAGATTTAGCTTTGGGAAACTGACAGCTGGGGGTGGGGAGGTAAGGTAGGTACAAGTTTTAGCTGCCACTCTTTCCTGAGTTAGGAATTTACGAAGTGTTCATGAATAGTATCGATAGCAGACATTTCTCAGTCTCATGCCATTCAGGTTTTAGGCCATATAGTCAGGTCAGGTCATCTCCAGAAAAGAAATGATTTGTTTCCCTTGGTGTCTTTTGCTTGCTTAAGTAACCATGATTTGGACCCGAAGACTGTCACTTAGTACTATGCAATCATTAGTGGGCTGACTCCAAAACAACTTCTTGTCTTTGCTACTGCACACTACCTGCTTTAAGTGAATTCAAAATAAAGCAATTCTGATTTTTTTTTTTTATGATTTTATTTATTTGAGAGAGAGAGCACAAGCCAGGCGGAGAGGCAGAGGGAGAAGCAGGCTTCCCGCTGAGCGGGGAGCCCGATGCGGGCCTCAATCCCAGGACCCCGAACCGAGATCATGACCTGAGCCGAAGGCAGACACTTAACTGACTGAGCCGCCCCGGCGCCCCCAATTCTGATTTTTCTCCAAAGGACATGTGACCCAAAGAATGTATGATAGACTTTTTAAAGTGTTAACATCCCCACTATATTTAAATTACATTTAAAATATAAATAATGAAATTCCATTTATAGCCAACTCATGAATGATCTCAGTAGAGGAGGTGCTCTCCTTTCTTTATTGTCCACCTTCTGACATTTTCACTCTATATCAGAAGGCAGATGTGAGAGGAAAATGATAATACACTTAATTCATGTATGTGGCTGAGAGCCTTGGCCTCAGCCTTGGTGTTAGAATCTATTGCCCCACACTCAGTAACTAGGGTTCCAGGACATCTATTCCTGTTGTGCCTCTCTGAGCATCTCAGGTGGTGCCCAGCTTCCCCTGTAGCATGGTGACCATGTGTACTCCGGGAGAGCCGTAGTCTTGTCAGCTAGACGACTGTAGCTCTGCAGGTGACCACTGCTGTTCCAGGTTCTCGCTGTTAGGGCTGGGGCAGTGTATGATGGTTTTTGTCTTTCCTCTTGTCTTAATGTGCAAGACATAGGTCAATGATGAAAATGGAAATACACAGTGAAAAAAACTGCTTGGCGGAACAGAGGAAGCAAGGTTATTATGAGAGGTGGCTTTCAAGAAAACTAAAAATTCAAGTGACACATTTCTGTCCATGAACTCAGAAGACCACATAGAGTAACATTTCTTATGTTGACATACGTCTGGAATTCTTGAGCATGGTCATCCAATTGAAAGCTGGCAATCCCCACAACAAAACTCAACTCATTTGTTAATACATTTCTGTTAAGGGGCAGGATGGGTTTGTTATATAAGTTGGTGTGGTTACCTAATGCAGCACAGACCCGTGGATTTCCTTTCCAAAGTGACAGCTACAAATTGGGCTTAATGAGATTCCTTGCTATATTAATGAGGAGTCTAAATATCGGTATGCCAATTATATAAAGCCTCAAAAAGGTGGCAGGTGTAATTTCTGCCTGAAATAAGGGAAACCCTTGGGGTATGATGGGCTTTGGTTTTTTGAGATCTTTGAAAACACTAGGCAGAGATAGTCTCGGCGAATTGTTTTCTGGTGATTTCTGTGAATAAACTTCAAGTGTGAGAATATATTCTTGTCATAGGAAAAAAATGTTCTAGCATTTAATTCTACTACACAGACATCTCTGAAAGCCACATTTAAGCGACATTCAAAAAAATTTAAACATTCTCTGAGCTGTTTATTTTTAACCAACCATTTTTAGTTTGTACATGTACAAAGATGAGCAAACTAAGACAAGGGGCTGACTGACATCGACTTGTCGCCTGTACTTAGCGCCTGGCACTGCAGTGCTGGGACGGTGGCGTTTCTGCGACTCGCATTGAAAAGCTGACATCTGGACAACGTTGGGAGACACGTGCCATTCAGATCACTTCTCAAGTTCCTTGAGTTGGCCTTAGCTTTCTGAGTCCCAGAATCTCCTATTTTTGGAAACTTCATATAAAACCTTGAAATTGGTACCCTAAGTTTGAAGTTTCTTATGAACAAAGTAAAGAAAAACATTCATACGTAAAACTTCTTTGCTGGGACTAAGGCTCTGCCCCGCGTACAAGTTCTAATTGTTTGATTGTGTAATTGATGTATTGCTTTTAATAGAGTTGATTGGTGTAATGTTCTTTTTAAAAGAAAGAACAACAACAAAAAAAAGAAAGTTAGAACAGCAGTTGTAGTCAGTTATGTCAAAATGATTGAATTTGATCATAGTTTTCCAGAGAAAATGAAAACAGTTATATATTGAGTAGGAGGCAGTGATGGAGGCTTTACTAAACACAAGGACCTCTTGCAAAATGGAATAATTACTCCGCTTTTAAAAAGTTTGTCTAGCTCCTATTTAAGGCAAGTAACTAAAATTGACTAGAACCCCTAACTTGACAGCCTCAAAGGACTCTTGATGGAAAGTCGTAAATCTGAAAACTGAGTAACATGGAATATTTCAAGAACAACTTGACAGGGCCAAGGAAGTAATTCTACTAAAATTACAAAGGAAAACAAAACAAAACAATACAGAGCCAAACCAAGCCATTATAGCTTATCTTTGTTGAGTTACTTCGTTAGGGCTCCCTAGCTATGGGATGGCTCTATCAGTCTGTTCCATCCTCCTTGATCGTCAGCTTAGTCTTCAGTTGGCTCCTCCCCAAGCAGCCTCCTCTGCCGTTCCAGGCATCCCATGAAAATGTGAATATGCCCAAAGAAGAGAGACTTGGTTCTCAGCATCTTTTTATGCCTGTTTTTATTGTGAAAATAGAGTATATACAGAGTCCATAAAACATGTACAGCTTCATGCATCTGTTTAAAGTGAATACCTCGGTACAACTAAATCAGTTCAGAAAATAGTACAGCAGCCCAGAAATCTGATTGCAATCCTCTCTCCCAACCAAAGATAATCACCAGACTCGTGATAGGTACTTTCTTAATTTTTAAAAAAATATTTTACTACTTCGGTATGCACTCTTAAACACCATAGTTTCATTTTGCCTGGTTTTGAACTTTATAGAAATGGAATCATGTCCAGCATCGGGAATATAGTCAATAATATTGTAATAATGTCTGTATGGTGACGGATGTGACCACACTTACCATGGTGAACACTGTATAATGTATAGAATTGTCCAATCCCTATGTAGTACTCCTGAAACTAATATAACATTGTATGTCAACTATATTTCAATAATAAATTTTTTTTAAAGAACACATTTTCACTAAGTTTACAGTACCTGAAATTTTACTTAAGACCCCATAGCTATCTCCTGAAGTTTAAAAATCTATTTCAGGAATAAAATTGGATCATGAATTTTAAAAAAGCCTGTAACACAAATGGAATAATTTTCTAGAAGTTGAGATGGTCTAAAAATATTTGACAATTTTACAAACCTAAAAATACATGTACTAAATCTTTAAAAAAAAATGGAATTCTGCATTTTGCATCTGGTTTCCCTCAACATGTTTGTGAGGTTTGTTCCTGATGCTGCATGTCACTATGATTCATTTATTTTCGTGGCTGTGTAATATTCTATTATGGGACTGTACAAAGTGTATTTATACCTTCTAAAGTTGACGTAGATTTAGGTTGTTTCTAGTTGGGGTTATTAGACAATGCGGCTATATTTAACCCTGTGTAGGTCTCCTACACACATTTGCAGACATTTCTCTTAGTATACTCCTAGAAGGGGAATTGCTAGATGATAGAATGTAAATTCAACCGACTAAATACTGCCAAAAAGTTTTCAAAAATAACCATTCTAGGGGTGCCTGGGTGGCTCAGTTGGTTAAGCCTTTGGCTCAGATCATGATCCCAGCATCCTGGGATCAAGCCCCGCATCAGGCTCTCTGCTCAGCAGGAAGCCTTCTTCTCCCTCTCCCTCTGCCTGCCTGTCTGCCTACTTGTGAGCTCGCTCTCTCTCTGTCAAATAAAATCTTAAAGAAAAATACTATTTTTTTCTCCCATCAGCAGTATATGGGAGCTCCTGTTATACACATTCTCCTCAGTATTTGATATTTTCAATTATTTTAAACTTTTGTCAATCCAGTGGATGTGTAGTGGAATCTCTTTGCAGTTCTATTTTGCATTTTACTGACTTATTAATTATGTTGAGCACCTTTTCATGTGTTTATTGGCTATCTGAAATTCCTCTTTTTGCAAAGTGTCTGTTCAAGCCTTTTCCCTGTATTACTACAGAGTTGTCTTTTTCTTACCGACTTGTAGGAGTACTTCATGCATTTTGGATGTGTCTTCTGTCAGTTACATGTACTACACATATCTCCGCCCATTCTGTAACTTGCCCTTTCGCTTTCTTAATGGTATCTTTTGATGAACAGAGTTCTTAATGTGATCCAGTTCCATAATATCTCCCTTTATGGGGAGCCCTTTTTCTGCCTGGGTTAAGAAGTCTTTTCCTACCCTGAGATTATCATAGTATTCTCTGTAGAGTAATTTTTAACAGCTTCATTGT